TTTCTGCTGATCTTCAGCTTGTACTCTGAGCCGATCGTCTGTGGGGTTGGACTAATTATTATTTTAACTGGAGTTCCGGTGTTTTTCCTTGGAGTCTACTGGAGAAATAAACCAAAGTGTGTAAATAGGCTAATAGGTAAGCTAGCACTATGTGCCTCACTGCCCTCCCTGCTTAAACTCTGACACACTGGCACCAAAACAGCCAGGAAACTGCCTGAACAAGCCRGGCCACCACTCTCAGCCATGGGCAGCCCCTGAGCACAAAGTGGCCAGACAGTGCTTTTCTTTGGGCAGATGTTTAGCTCACTCATGGATACATTTGCCTCCTCTCACGTCTCTGTGGCCATCCACTCAGCTTGCTCACAGCAGTCTGTCCTGTGGCAAATTCACAGGGGTGTCACTTTGCATAAATGGAAGCTAAATGAGCGATCGCAAAGGGTCTGAGGAGTTTGTCTGACCCTTGCCCTGCCTTCCCTCCTGCCTGTCACCAGCACACCATGTCACACAAGCCCAGTGCAACATGGTGGACTATCTCATACTCAAAAGTTTCTTATAAAACCTTACATTATCCCTCCTMTAAAATTAAAACTGCACATATATATTTTATGTTTTGGTTGTGTTTGATTTTTAATCACTTTGCTCCAAAGCAAGGACATTCAAACAAGCACAGTGTGGTCCTATGCTCTGACTGAGGGTTTCCATCAGCTGCAGTGGTCTCCCCTGCAAGCAGCTCCCTGTGGCCAGTGGTCACTAGAGCAGGGCTGACAGTGCCAGGAGGGCTGACAGCCATGCCATGCCATGCCATGCCGTGCCATCCCACCCCTCCCCAATCCTGYCAGTCTGCCATGGGCAGCACTGGCAGTTCTGTGAGGGGCTGGGGAAAAGAATCCCTAAAGCTGTTCCATCTTAATCTGTCCTTACTTCACAAACACTCTTTGATCACTGAGCTGGGGCTGAGAAGGGTTGGATGGGGTGGTCAGGGGAGCAGCAGGGCTGCGCAACCTCCTTCCCATGTGTCATTGCTCCACATAGCATCATACATTTCTTTAGAAGAGCTCAAGCATGCCCATTAACCACTGGCATTTTCTCCTTGCAGAGGCCATGACATGCTGGGGGCAGAAGCTGTGTTTTGTGGTGTACCCACAGTGTGGAAGTGCTGAGGAGGAGGCCTCGGCCCACTCTTGGCGCCCAGTGAGGGAAACAGCAGTGAAGAAATAACAACAGTGTGGCCTTTGAGGCTGAAGTGGCTTCTTGTTTACATGCTGATTTTTGAAAAATGTTTTTCTGGAAAAAAAATTGTTTTAGAGCTCCAGTAGTGAAGCCCATAAAATGAGCTACATCCTTTATGGCCTCCGTAGCTTTTAGTTATTTCCTCAGAAATAAGAAAAAAAAAAAAAGGAAAAAAAAAAAAGAAAATAAAATGTAAAATAAGGCACTGGTTGGGTTTTTTTTCTGGCAGCATTCTTTCTTAGCAAGGGTAAAGCAGCACAGACACAGCTCTGGAATACTGATTTTAGTCACCACAAGGGTCTGCCAGCAACATACAAATTTAGGCATTTCAAAACTAGGGCAGTTCCTAACACAAAATCAAAGTACAGAAATCAAGAGAAAGCAAGGAGACCTCTTGCTATYCCTGGGTGGGGTGAATGCCCAGCTAATACCTGAGGCATCAAAGTTACAATCCAGAGGATCACCCTKTCACATCCCCTGGAAGAGCGCAGCATCTCTGTCCTAGCTCCGAAGACCAGCACAACCAGGGCAGGGTCACTGTGCTGAGCATGGACCACAGAGGAAAAGCGACAGCACCAACAATCATCTGAACCATTCTGGCATCATTTTGTGACACAGGAAAAAAGATACAGAAGTAGTGAACTAAATTGCAAGTATCTCACATAGGATTTCTGTTAAGGTGGAGTAGGTTTCCTGCATGCCAGAAGGGACAGGGCTCACTGCACCACCCAGGAACTCCTGCATTAAGCCAAGCACAATCCAGGTGCCAGCTGAGGAGGATGGAGACACAGAGAGGTTTGCAGCAGGCTCAGCAGTGGGAACTCAAAGGAAACATGGGAAAGGAGTCTGATGTTCCTCCTGTCTATTGACATGTCAGATGCTTCTGTCCCATTGATTCAGAGACTAATCCTGCACTTCAGCTGTGCTCAACCAAGTAACAAGTCTAAATCACTCACACATTAGATGTTCCTTAGAAAGCGTTTTGCATATTTTATTTGTGCCATACTAGGAAAAAAATCTCATTCATATACTTAATTAATAGCAATGTGCTGCTGTAGCAAATAGTATTGCAATACTTGATATGGGGAATCAAGTTCTTTCCAACAGAAAGGAGTTTAAATAAAGCTTGAATAGCATGCAATGCTAGATAAACCTATATATTATGTGCTATTATATTTATGTAGAATAAAATATTAGAGGCAGTCATGAAGAAAAATACTCTGGGAAGTATCACCTGTAAGTCAGCCTAAGGCAAAGTCAATAAAAACTGATTGACTTACTCTTATCTGATTTATCACAGTATTGAAAAAAGCAGCAACAGATATGTCATCACTGTGTTACATGATTTGCAAGACAGAAGTGGAGAAGATAAAACTCCAGGAGCTGAGTGGGCACTGTTGGGAAGCACAGAGAGAATGAGGCAGAAGTACTATTGTTGGCTTGGCCACCCTCAAGCATTTTCAAAAACTTGATAAAGGATTGTTTTCCATTCACATTAGTACATAAACCAGAAGAGCTTGATCTCAGAAGGGTCAAGGGAAGAGACTCACAGAATCACAGAATATTCTGAGTTGGAAAGGACCCACAAAGAACATCGAATTCAGCTCTTAAGTAATTGGCTCACATGAGAATCRCACCTTGGGTTCAATACCATACTGTTTCAGTTCAGAGCTTTCCTCCAGCTCAAGAACAGATACATCACTGTGCATTTAATAATACATTCAACTTGGAAGCATCTTTACAAAACATGTTTCCAAAAATATGCAGACAAAATTTCATGAGCTGTGCTTTATCACTTCTGAAAACAGAAGCCCTAATGAAGCCGTCAACCTTGGGACAGGGGCTGGTGGCCCCAGGGGAGCAGCACCTTTGCCTGATGAGGTGCTGTGGTCAGTTGGGGAGCCCAGGACAGGGCTGCTGCCACAGCCCACCTCCAAACAAGCTAATGCTGTGAGAGAAACGCGTCAGAGAGCTGAAGTTAAATAAAATAATTCACCTTTGAAGGAAAGACAACAAATTAACAACCAACCAGCCTCAGCAGACATGCTGCCCTATGCTTCATATTCAGAGGCTTTTGTCGAGGTATTTCTCATGTTTCACTTATTGTAAATTTGTTCAACCTTGAAAAAACCCCATTTAGTTTCCAGCCCCTTTGTACCAAGAACAAAATCAGAAATTGTTAGCAGATATTCAGCTGCTGAAGAGTTCTATGARAGATGTTGAAAGAAAAATGAAGGGTAAACTTTGCTTGGAATTTGCCTTTTCCTAAAGCWTTAGAGTTCAGACAGTTGTGTCCTGTCTCCACCTCCAACTCCAGCTGTGAGTACAGGCAAACCAAACTCTGGTTTTTAAACCTCCTCTCCTTGGTCCTTGACATATCTCACCAGTGCTTTATCTTGAATGAGAAACTTCTGCACTTGGACAAATGGAAAAAGAAAAATCCAAGAAAAAGGATCAGAAAGTGAGTAAKAAGATGCCAAGAGACCGAACCAAATTTGTCTTAAAGTCCTCCARTAAAACGCAGCGATAGAAGGGAAGGAGATCCAAAAGACATCATAAAGCAGGGAACATAGAATGAAAGGGAATAAAATGTAAACCTCCTCCACTCACCTCAGCCTTGTTAATCATTTAATACCTGTAGCCAAGAACACAAGAGCCAGAATCTGAAAAGGGAAGGACAGCTCATTGAACTGTTTGCTAGGGTGGCAGAACATGAGGTGTACTGACTGCAAGATTCAGGTTCAGACCGCGCTTTGGACTGGATCTTAAATCCTAATAACTACATGGGAGATTAAAACTCAATTTCCTGCAAAATCAAAAAATCTGAAATAAGCAAAAGCAATTTTTCCTCTCAGAGAAAGGTCTGGATTAAAAAGTACCTAATGCCCTCCAGGCTTCTCAAGTTAGCCACTTGATTTGTTTGCAAGACATATCTATTGTACTGCACAGGCTGACAAAAAMCATGCAAACACACAGGTATCATTTATTACTCTATTTCTATTTCATGGGTTATTCTCATTTCAGTCTCGCATCAGGATATGATGGTATGGTCTGAAATATTAGTGCTTCCAYTGCTACCACTCTAGCTGAGTGAGCATTTCATGACAAAGCAAAGACTTTCTGCTAGGCAGGAAGATATTATCCCTCTGCATCCAGTTGTGTTCTTCCATCCTTCATGGCTACAGATAAATCTGGGCTCACCATGAAATCTGTCCAATTCTCTTCAATACAGAAAAAGATTTTCAAGTCTGCAGACCATTCCAACACAAATTAAGTCGGCCTTCACCTTTTTCTGAAAAAGAGCAGGACAGAGCCAGCAATACCTCAAAGAGACAAGGAAGGAGAAACATCAGCATAACAAGCATTGCCCTCATGAATGAGAGAGGCTGTACTTCAGAATTTTTTTTTTAAATCAGTGTAACTGTCATATACTTCAGGACTTCATTTTCTTCAGTTGGTATATATGCACACATACATTTTAAAGGCAGCTGTATATAACAATGAATTRCTAGTGCCATGATTTCACATGTATTATTTAAAAAGTGATATCCCTTCCACCAGCTTCAGGTACCAGAAAAAGCAGATGATTAAAAAAAAAAACCCTGAAGGTACAAAACCAAATCAAAATACACCCCTTCTCCTTCACGTTCATATCAACACAYGGATTCCCTGAGTTGGCAATGTAACAGTCAGCGTCAAACAAAGACTGTGGGAGTACAATTTARGCATCTTGAGCTTTGGTGTTGAGTGATAGTCAGAAATCCACAGGCTCTGGGCACATGAAATTTTATTAAAAATTAAAAGATACAAAGCAAGGCAAAGTATGATATGCAAACCAGCATCTTTCTTGCTTAGTATCTTGCTCAGTCCAGGAAGCAGCAGTAGACACTGGCAAACCTGACCCCATACCTGAACCACATGCTTGTACAAAAGCTATGGTAAAAAGTTGCAACTGAATTATTATATACAACACAAAATAAAAACAAACAAAGCAGAGAAAATAAACAGAAAATAAGTATGTTTAAAGGGTGGTGCAGAGTAATAGACAAGCTAGAAGGTACCAGAATTTCTAACAGAAATATTCCCTGGTTTAATAGCAGTAGAGAAAATATTAATCACTTTTGCCCTTTATGCTGCCTATGAGCTTGTATTTTATTTAAATCAGTAGGTATTCTCTATTRAGAGGGTTTTTTGTAAGGGGCTTTTTTTTTTTTGGCTGCTTAGACAGGGGAATTTTGTATCTTAACCGAAAACAAACAAACAACTCAAATACTTTGTCACCTGTCCATCTACAATTTTTTTTAAAAGTGTACATTATTAAAGTAACAAAAATTTAAGAAAGTTTACTAGCTGATTAACTTGAGGTTTATAGCCTTTAAAGTGTTGTATTTCCATTTTTCCATCTTTTTTTTTCTAATTTTAAGAAGTTCTGAATACAAGGAGGCAGTTGATATGAGTCAGAACTGCGATGCCTTAGAGGATGATCAATTCTCTGTTTAATACTTACAAGAGAYAGAGGAAGGGCAGACATACACTAAGGTAGACTTTATGATTTAACCAGGTATTGACATTCTGGGGTACTGCAATGTATCTCTGTGCTCACAGCACAGAGATTTCTTCTTTCTAAAACTAACAGTGAATTCTGTGGCTCTTCCCTCCAAGGGGTGAGCTAGGAGACAAAACTGCCCTACATAAAAGGTGGGTTTACATATAAAAGTCAGTGCTTACATAGAGTACCAGGWTTGCATTTCTCATTGATGCAAAGTYGTACATTCTAGTAATGAGGGCTRTGAACACTTCTGTMCACTTCAACATCCAATTTTCATTAATCTGTAATTTTTAAAATTTCTGAAAGTACAACCTCATCAGTGAAATTTTCACTGAATTACCAAATGCATCAGTACACAAAATATGCATGATACATGGAAGAAATTATGTGTTTGCTTTGTCATATTGTAAGTTATAAATCTTAAAACAGCATTAGCTGTTCACAGTTGTTTCCAAAATATAGCAATACTCTAAGTATAATTGCAACTTTAGGAGCCTTATGATGATGATGGTTTAAGGCATGGCATGATCAACATTATTTCATATGGAAATATTTTTTTGTAATAGAAAGAAATATACATGTATTTCTAAGATCCTCCATATCCACACAATACAAATCTTTAATCTTTCTCCTAACTGTACTTAAATACCTTACACATACAAGTCTATATATTAAAAATTATCTTCAGACAAAAAAAAAAAAAAGACACAAACCTGTAGCCTTTGATGCAAACAACTAGTCTGGCAGAGCAACAACTAAAGTATATGGCCTTGCAAAGGTGGAATGCACCCAAAATGTTTATAAATACTATGAAAACAAGATCTCTTTCAAAACTACATTTCCTTTGATGAAATCAGTTCTGATCASAGAAGCAATTGGAAAAAATGAGTGAGTGGTATTTATTTAATGCAACTACAACTCTTACTTGTTACGCATATTGCCCATCCTGGTATTTATGCCCTTAAAGAATTTGAATCTTCTAACACTGGAATGCACAGTATGAAACCAATTTGTAACAGAAGAGTTAAAAAAAAATTTCTATTTAATTTTTCCATTTTACATTTTAGCCCTATTCCTTGTTCTTTTTAAGGCACTCCCCTCAAAGGGAACCCTAGTGAAAGATCCAGGGCAAAATACAATCCATTTAACGGAAAAAAATCTTTGACACTTTGAAGTAAACTTAACTGTTGACTGAAGAAGCCCATTTGCCTTTACAGCCAGGAAAGTCCTGTGAGCAGCAGAGCTCAGGACCACAGATRCCAAAGATCCCAATTTCACAAGTTCAGTTAATAACTCTGGACAACGTGAATTCCTACAACAAACAGATTTTGGAGCACTTGGAGGTTTACAGAGCAGCAGCATTAACTTCCCTGCTAACTCCTCTAAAAAGCATTTTTGCTAGTCACTGTGTCACAAGGCARTTGAAGCAGATGCTCTTGTTAGAGTAGGGAAAGTCTGGCCATCACAACAAGACCAASCACACAGCAGGTTCTGTCATTCTGCAGGGACTCCTCATTAAGCAATGCCACCCGCTTACAAGTCAATAACTTGTTTACTTTTAATTACATTCTAAAAAACCAAAAAGGCATCAGTTTACATTTAARTGTGTACAATCCACAGTGTCAGCTTTGAAAATGGCACTGATCTATTTCAGTTCTTCAAAGAAAAAAAGCAAATAAAAATAAAAAAAAACCAAAATAACATACTCCTAAAAATAGAAGATAAATAAAATCACTGGCTTATACATCTGCATTTACGCAGCAGATTTACAATCAAACTTGTGARACAGATTTCAAAGTTAAATAGAAGTCTGATCCTGACCAAGTGTTCAGTGCTTCCCAGTGCAGCCCCCAGGATCTGTAAAGCCTCAGTGTCCTTCAGGCACACTCAAAGTGGTATCAGCACAAGGTCCCTGGAAACACAAAGGAGGAGAGGAAAAAGAGGGTAAAGAAGGAGGAAACAATTTGGCAACACTCACATCACTATGAAGAAAATGCAATATATGACAATGCAAAAAAGAAATACTGCTGCRACTAGAATCCAATGCACTCCACTTATACTGCTACACTCTCATTACAAAGCTTCTGTAGTTAAGACACCTRGTTTCATTCTGGGTATTCCATACAGAAACCTCGAATTTACCGAATGCTTCAAGGTACATATGGCCATCAAAACATATCTGAAGGGAGTAAAAGAAGCGAGCAGTTTCTATAAAGAGGAAGCTACAACGGATTTTAATTCCTCCTAAGTATTTGTCATCAAAATTATTAAATTTTAATTAAATTATTATGCCTAAAAGGACAACAATGTTATTGGTAGCTTGGTACTCCAGAGTTACAATGACTGGTGTCTGATCGAGGTTCCAACAGAGTTCTCTAGTTTAATAAGAMCACTGAAAGGCAAAAGAAAAACTGAATGAAAAGTGAGTAAAAGTACTGAAGAAATACCAGAGGGTGSAGATGCCTCTAAACTGCTGTGACACATACCTTTTCTTCTAGCCCCTGACATCACATACTGGTCTACTTCTGCCCCATCAGAGTTTCAGGAACAGCAACGATGACATAAACTTGTCCCATTTATTCTTGTAYTGCACTACTACAGGATTAAAGCACACTGGTTTTAAGAGAGAAAGCTGAGAGTGAAGACATACCACCTATCAACAAAGTGCATTGTCACTTAAACAATGAAGTTACAAAATATACATGGACAAAAGCTTTTATTAGCAAACAAGTAAAGATTCATCATCACTGGTATTGTTTTCAGAGAGGGAAGTAGATGACTGCAACATTGGCACTTCCACAGAATGGCTACAAGCTGCATGAACATCCAAAGGCTCCTCYGGGTATGAGTTAGGGCAACACTGGCTTTGTCCATCCACTTGGATATGAACATTCATAGGGCTGTCTGGATAACCAGACTCCCATTTTTTTAAGGGTAATCTACATGAACCCTCACTCAGTGGATGACTTCCACCTAAACTATTGTCCTCTGGAACAGTCCTCCTGGATACTGATCCTCCATGGATCGATTCTGTAACACTTTCAGATACAGGATCTCTGAAAGCCTTTCCTGAATCTACTTTACTGGACTGCTTACGCTCTTGGTCAGAGACAGCACTTAAAGATTTATCAATGTRTTCAGCCTCAGGCTCTGCATGTGCTGCTGTGCAAGTATTCGGTTGGAAGCTGTTGGAAGGCAATGGCTCTGTGATTTCAGTCTCTGGCTGCAAGCTGCTACATCCAGCTTCTTGTGGGCCACTGGCTTGGCCATTTGCTTCTAAAATAGGTCCTTCTGGGGAAGGTGGAGGACTCTGAATAGTCCCATCAGCACTGTTGATGATTCCATCACCCAGTGTAGTCTGTGAAATGTSGGCAGGCGTCAGGAGTGGAATCTGTCCTCTCACCCGTGGTCTGTGAAAGAGTCTRTTCCAGAGCCTGCCCAAGCGCCGCCGAGATGAGCTCCGTCTTGACGAGTGTCGTCTCATCTGCCTYCTCATGGCTGTTCGAATGTTCTGCAGCACAGAAGCCTGTAATACAAAGGTAGCAAACTAGCATTTCACACACACTCAAAAGACTTCWTAACCCTCCTCTCCCCACTAATATCTTCACTCCACCACAATACTCAGACTCKATCCCTATGCTTCCTTGTTAAATGCATATTTTCTAACAAACTATTTGAGAACATTAAAGAGAACTCTGCCTGTACCAAAGGACTTTTATAGATTCATAGAACCGTTTGGCTTTCCTTGAAGGGACCTTAAAGATCATCTGATTCCAAATTCCCTGCTGTGAACTACTCTCACTAGAACAGGCTGATCAATGCCCCACCCAACCTGACCTTGAACACTGCCAGGGACAGGCAGCCRCAACTTCTGTCCTTTACAGTGCTTTCTTTATGAGTTTAAGCTCTACTTGTCTGCCTGAGAAGATTATTTTCCACCGGAGTAACAAGCTTTATCACATTAGGAACTGTATCTCAGCTGGATACTTCTGGCAGGGTACAGGAGTTTTTTGAGTACTCAGCAATGAAACAGAATGACTTAATGGCCATTGTAATTTATCTGTAATGAAAAATAATAATTTTGGAAAATCAAGAATTTTCAAAAAATATTGCTAGAGACTTCATTTTCTTACCATCTCAGGTTTATTTAAAATTTCAGCTTCAAAAGCCTTATTTTTTTTCTATTTAGTTTCTGACCCTTCTCTCTGTCTCTATTCATTCTGTCTAGATGTACAGCAAAACTGCACATGTTTATATCATTGCTGTTCCCCAACAAATATATGTACTGTGTTCAAAATTACCCACAGCACCTGCGGGACTGTGGTTCCTCAGCTCCATGTAACATATGCATATTTTTATATTACTTCCATATAATTAGCCCAGCCATGGAAATACAGTTTCAGACTGATTTTATCTAATTTATAGTAGTTTGGTAGTAGTTATAGTATCCATTGGCATTTGTGTTTGCATACTTGTGATGCATTGTACACAGGGAAGTCTTCAACYGGGGGGATAAGCCCTTGTGCAATCAGCTGTCCATAGGAAGGCGGAGCTTCCCGCCGCACAAACTCTGCCTCCAGTCGTGTCATCTGAGTCTCAAATGCTCTGCAAACAGAACCAGAGAGAAAACAAGGAAAAGAAGTAACATGTCTTGCCTCCCTCACATTAATGTATAAAAGAGGCTCATGCTAGGAGTAAAACCACGAACCTTCCACTRAGCTACATGAAAACCTTATCAGGATGCTAAAATAAACAAAAAGACTAAGAGTACAGGGTATAAATATGAGTGAATCAAACCAGCAAACTCTCTAGTGCAGTCTCAGGCTGAACAAAGCGGCAACTGAAGTTTTTCAACTGGCCAGTAGCCATTGTGCCAGTAACAGCAGTAACTTGTTCAGCAAGGGCCCAAAGGTTCTTTTTAGGAAAGATATTAAGAACTGGAAACAATCACGCAAACAGGGGTAGCTTGCAACTGCAGAGAGGTTTCACTGTCCTGCCAGAACAGAGGCATTGATGTTCCCACCTTAGCACAGCAGCTCTTTTGCAGGTCCTTAATCGTGCAGATTTGATCCAGAGACAATGTAAAGCACACTGTTTAAGACATAAACAGTGTCAGCAGCATAGCACAGAGCTGCTGCACATGGCATAAMATAGGAACCAGGAAGTCCCTTATGACTCTCTCCTACAGGGCAGAACCCCACTTACACATACACATAACACACAGGAAAATACACCCTACACCTAAAACCAGGCATATAGGACCAGAGAAAAGGGATATAGCTTATACCATGGAAAACTCTTGCCCAGAATAGGCCCCACCACAGCAGGACATCACTTTTAGCAGAATTGAGAACTAGAGTATTTGGGGTGGGYTGAAGGGTTAGTCAACCCAGATTCAGTAAAGACTCCGCTGTAACAGTTCAGYATTCAGTTTTTGGCAGGGGCAAGGGSTTTGTWSCAAGGGGAGAAGGACAAAATGAAAYGGCTCAAGATAGATTAGGTTAGATACAGATTCTGCCATGTGGCACAATAAATGTCTCAYAGACCACAGAAGAGCTGATATTCCCCTCGCTAATCCCAGAAATCTTTTCTAAGCCTAATGTAGTSACTACTATTTAGCTGTCATCAAGTCCTTGGATTTGATTTCACARTATTTTACAAACTCTCTGGCTAAGAATCAACTCTTTTTTCCTTTTAACAAAACAGAAAAAAACACCACAGTTATGAAAATACCAACAAAGTAAGACACTTACCTGTATTCCCTGGTCCTTAGAGAATATAGCTTAAATGCACAACCTAGTGCTATCACTAGCAGCAAGCCACACACGAGACTCCCAATCAGAGCAGCTGTGATGACCTTCCTGGGAACGATCACCAGGCAGTTATGCTCATCACTTCCATCCTGGCAGTCTTCTTGGCCATCACAGCGCCAAGTCTCAAAGATGCACAGATTTGTTCCACAATGGAAGTTTCCTGGCTGGCAAGTAAAGCAGTTTTTTTCATCTGAGCCATCTGGACAATTCTTCTGGTTATTACAGCGGTCAAGTATTGAGTAACAAAGTCCACTGTTTCCTTCACATGGGTATTCATTCTTCTGGCAAGCAGGACAGTTCTCCTCATCCTTGCCATTTGGACAATGCCACCAGCCATCACAATGCTGCTTATCAGTGAAACAATCCTCATTGCTTCCACAAGGGTACTCCCAAGGAAGGCAATAACCTTTCACCTGATACGTTGCATTGAATCCATGGCCAATGCTCTTGGAGCGGGCATGATACAAGACAGTGAGCTGGCCCTTTGATGACTCCACACTCACTGAATGCCTGTTGTTGTGGTGAGAAAATGTCTGCATTAATTTATCACTTCTCTCTCCAATGCCATCATACACCTTTACATAGTCATTGTAGCCTAACTGCAAATTGAGCTGCAACAGAACATGCCGATTATCCTGTGTGTCCACATACCATGTGCAACGAAGGTCTGATCTGCTGTGATCAGCACGGAATAAGTCTGGGGAGGCAAAAGATCCATAAAAATTACCCAGCCTTTTGCCACAGGAAAGATCAGGACAATTATCTTCATCTGAACCATCACCGCAGTCTTTAACAGAATTACATCTGAGCTCATTCATCAAGCATTTGGTGGAGTGGGCTGCGCTGCACTGAAACATTCCTGAGGGACAGATGCTGGATGGAGGGTCTGTTGGAGGGACAGTGCAATTTTTCTCATCTGAGTTATCACCACACTCATCCATGGAATTACACTTCCAGGTACTGGGAATACACTTCCTGTTTGCACAATGGAATTCATCTGGCTGGCACACAGACTGACCTATCTTCCCTGTGAAAGAGGACAGGGAGAAAAAAGTCAGTATCAAGACTTTTGGAACTATCTGATATCACTTTAATATCTACTACCCTGCATATCACAAGTCAATCGGTCAGACCAGTACACTTCAGGAATATTGTTAAAAAGCCACATGCAAATAATATCAGTGTTACAACATCAACACTYTAAATTCATCAAAACTGGCCCAAGACTCCAGTCAAGAAAAAGTACTACCATCTTCCAAGTATTGGCAGAGCGAGTTTAAAGTGAAACCAACCGTAAGATTTTACCTCTAATATAAGAAAGGCGAAATCCCTGAGCCTGTCCTGAGCTTGATGCATCTGAGTGAAAAAATATCCATACGTGGTCTCTTGCAGAGATGAAAGATGGAGGTATGGAAGATCCACACACTTTGTACTCCTCCCTCTTGGAAGATGGGCCAATCATCAACCAGTCCAGTGCACACTTCTGAGAGTCTTCCAAATCAAAATTCTTAAAACTGTTAAGAATAAAAGGAAGAGCAAGTTACAGAGAGGACATGTGTCTGGAACAAAGCCTAACAGAGAAAGAACAGATTCTAATGGCTGACTTTCTGCACCAAGCAATGCTGACATTCAAAGATAATGAAACATCTACCTTCTATTTACTACTTTCAGTGTACAGAATTAAAGCACATCCCCCAATTTGGGAAAGCGCCCATCTCACAAGCATGGACATCATGTCAAAGTAGCTCCAAAAGCTGAAAGAATGATTCCTCTTTTACTCAGTCCTTAAATAAAATTGCTCCCTAAAATACAGCTATGAGGAAAAGCAAAATTCCAGAATACACTAYGCAGAAGGTAGATTAATTTCAGTCATTTCAGTCATTAATTTTCAGTCATTTCCAACCTTAAAGGTTATGAAACTAGGGATGACAGAAGTGACTAATGTGCTGRAAAAAGAACAATAGGAAGCAGTACAAAGAACCCTGAAGGGCCAAGTACAAGAGACATAAATCCACTCTTCGAGCTATGGATGGCAAGAAGAGAACAAGAAGAGAATACGGGTGGAAATGAAAMRGAACCTAAAMTCTAACACCATTATATTTTAATTCAAAYATTAAAATACTCCCTTTCTGGGAGYACAAATGCAGAGCAAACATGGCTATAACCCTTCATAGTCAAATTTCCAGCCCTTCTGCTGACACAAGCCCAGTGRTTATTCAGTAGTAGCTTACCTAGTGCAAAGAGGTACCCTGACTGCTTGCAGAACACTGAATACAACCGGATAATACTCCCTAACCTGTGGTTCAGGAATCACAAGTGGTATTTGTTGTCTGATAAAACAGACTGTATTTGCATTCAGCAAATATGCAATGACAATGGCAGATTGCAGATTGCACAGAAAAGCATATTCATTAGGAAAGGGCACATTGCTCAGAACACTTAGAAATTAATTTTGGTTCTCTTTTATATAACTCAGCTAACTTGCTAGAATACTCCATATAAATATCTTGACAGAAGTTTCAGAAAGGCAGAAAAGTTGCTACAAAATACYTCCATAAAGGATTTTTCACAAATATCAAAGACAAATTCTTTGAAAAAGATAAATGGAAAGATAATTTTGTGATATCAATGTGTATTTRCAAAAGACTGTCATTGCCTGCTAGATCGTAACCTTTGAAGGTGAAAGGGAAAGAACAGCAACTATGTAAACTAGCTAATTCATTTAAGCAGGAGACTCAGCCTACTCACACCTGTAAATTCTGCCAAACACATTGGCTTAATAATGTTAAAAAAAAAATCATCAGCAAGGTCATGAGAAGTAAGAGAGCACCGAAAGTGATAAGTTAAAATTAAGAGATGACAAACAACATATGTGCAAGGACAATTGGTCCAGAAATAAGTTCTTCCTCTTCTTTTTCTCCCACCAACCTGTGTGTCTTCCCAKCTAGGAAGAAATATTCCTACACCACTTAATTCTTTGCTATAAGCAATCTCATCAAGCTYCTGAAACCAGCATATGTAGCAAGGAAGTTTTAGATGACTGTGCAACCCAAATACAAATATTTAAGTGCTCAGCCACTTGAAGATAAACTAGAGTATTTCTGTTACAGGTGTTCTGCATAAAATGTTTTTAATRACCAAAAAAGTGAACAGCCACTGCATCATGAAAAGAAACCACCCAAAGCATCAGAGAAACCATAGGCACTCACACAAAGTCTGTTTGTTACACTAGGAGTGAGACAGCATTACTAAGCTACCACATCAGTTTTGCTCTCTGTAATTAATTTTGGCACCACACATCATGCAGGGTTTCTATCACTTATTTGGAGGATTGTTCATAGGAATTTTTTTAATGAAAACTTTTTGACTGTTAGAAATACCTATTTGCCCAACAACAAAAATTTTTAAGTAAAGGGAACAATCACTAAATCAAGAAATAAAAACTCAAAACTGGGAAAGGGGAGTGGGAATGACTAGAAAAACTTTTGTTTGTGTGATACGACCAAGTCYATTTACTAAATCTTTTGATCCTTTACTTCTGCAGTTATTTTAGATGCACCAGGATCAACCCTAAAGAGGCAAACMAACTTTTCTCCTATCCTACTCAATTCCCAGCCCTTCAACTGGGTCTTACAGTCACTCATTTTCCCTGCCCTGCTGAAAAGAGCTACTTTTGTCTATCAAGTAAATAATTCAGCCATAGTGTRGTTACACAACACAGACTGCAAAAACCCAGGGGAGAATTTGCCTATATAATAAGCTGTCTATAACTTACTTTAAAATGCATTTCTTTCTAGAAAAAARGRRRAAAAAAAWGTTTAACKCTTTTAAGATTTACACAAMGGAAGAGTACAGAAAAGTCAGCTATATGCACATAACCTTGTTTACAAAGTCATTTSTAGATAACAGCAATACCCCTCAAGAGCCTGCATTCATGTACAATTAATATCTTTTACTTGCACCTTGACAGTCTAATATTGTACATTGCTAATAAACAGCTTTTTTTTTGGCTGTGGAAGAGAAAGAACCTTTAGTTCCAGTTGCCAATGCAGAAGCCCAAGCATCCAGAGGATAACTGACTTTCCTGAGTGTCAGCTGTAGATCTCAAACAGATTCAGGCAGAATCCCACACTTCTCTACYAACAAATCCAAACCTTAGCCACAGAGCACAAGGGTGATGAGGCAGAATAGATTTGCAAGGAAACACTGTGTTYAACAGATTCCCTGAAAACACCATGCCTCTCAGAGATACACAAGCTACTGAAAAAAATGCCTTGGTATTCGAAAAAGGCAATACAGAGTATTCACAAGAACAAACTGATTTACCATCAGTTAATCCACCTGTGCCTAGGAGTTTCAAACACAATTTCTCTGAAATATATTCTAGTTCCAATGCAAAGGTTTACATGCAATAGATACCATAATTTCTTCCCCTACGCGTCAAAGCAAAGTCAAAGCAATTATGTTCCACCTTATGCAAACTAATGAACAGATGTATTTTCAACAAATTTTCCATCGATGAAGGCATTGTCACTCTATTCCACCACCCTTTTAAGTTATACTGCCCCTACTAGAAGCAAATTTTTCCTCATTTACTTTGACAGTGATTTTACACAAGACCAAATGCATGATACACTTGAACAAGCCCTCACCACAAAAAACCTTGCAAAGAAATAGGAAAACAATATGAATACATGTTTGCATTCGTATGTATATAAAAGTGGGGCTCACTATATAATGTATTTGTGACAAGTTTTTGTGTCAGATATTTCTGCCATAATACTCTGACATTAAGTAGCAAACTGATTTATTTTAGCCAAGAGTCCTGCATACTGCAGTCAGCCTCTAGTACTTCACTTCTTTCATCATCTGTAATTAGAAGATTTAGTGCTACTCCATTACAGTCTTCTGAAGAATAATCCTGCTACCCACAAGACATTTATTCAGCTGAGCTTTCTCAGGCTGGAATGCAAATTTTTCTATCCAAAGGACTGGTCCAGTGGTTGAATGAGTGATGGCACACAGTGGAAATACGGGACAAAGACTTATGCTTGTAGTGCTTGTAGGACCACACAGACATTGTATAGTCTTTGGAAAAGTACTGAAGTCTGYAGTTACTGCTCTTGAGGAAATTCTCAGACCCTCTGCATCAAAAACAAGAAACAGGAGCTGTACTGAAACAGAGAGTACTCATGTATAATGTCACCCATAYCTCATGCAGCACCAGTCAGTATTGYAGTATTTTTAAACATCTTGGGCAGGAAAGCATAGGATTTCAGAAGAAAAGCGAAAGACAGGTCTGCTTAGTCACTAATCCTTGCCAGCAAAGCCCTCTGACAGGTCTGAAGGACCAGTACATGGACCCAGAAGTCCATCCTACCATGCAAGCTGCAGTGCACAATGGCACAAAACCCCAGCCCCTGCACACATCAACTACGGCCTTCCCCCCACACCCCAGCTGCTCCAGACTCCCCTTCACCCAGGAGCTTCACTTCTAGGGCTATGCTCCCCTGCTAGAGCATCTTGGCACTTGGTGATAAAGGGAAGGAGAACCTGGCTTTCTTCCAGRCTTTTATTCCTCTCCACAATCAGAGCACACAGCCTAAGTTCACAGGGCAAGGGGGGAAAARCAGTCAAACACTGGTATTTTGAGCACTAGAACTGAAATGTTAATAAAACACAACATCCATCACAGAAGATCCTTTAATAAGGTATGGCCCTTGGGCTGTTCTCACTGCTACCTGTGGATCTCCAAAACAATACATGAATAGAGAAGGAGACTGATGCACAAGATCAAAATTATTGGACCAAATCTTGCAGGTTTCACCTCTCCTAAAAGACGGTATTCAAAAGCAGCAACTCCAGTTGTCTTACTTTTGGAATGTCTCTTCCACATTTTTATACAAAAGTACAATAGCCTATCAAACACTGAAAGTATTCAGAATTTGAAGATCAGACCAACTCAATGTGAATGGAGAAACGCAGCAATAAGTCTTGTTATTACTGAATTCTGCAGAAATCAGCCAATTCAACTGATTCTTCTTTCAGTGGCATGATACTGAAAAACACTGCCTTCAACAGTAAGCAGAACTGCAGGAGTTTACAGAAAATTACAAGGTTGGTCATATATATCAGTTCTCACCTATGTACTCATATGATGTAGGCAACAGCCTACAATAGTATCTTCCTATTAACTGACAAGTACTTTTATGTTGCTGGACAGAACTTCATTAAACCAGATTATCATAAATACATATTAACAGTGTATATAGATGAGAAAAATGTGCTTCCTGCAAAGTTTTCTGCCATCTGCACTGAAAGAAACAGTAGCAGCTAGGAAAAAAATACCTCTATAAACAATGTAAGGAATTCTCTACAATTCTTTCAGTAATTTGGGCATGAAGGACTACAGATTAAAGAAAAAAAAAAAAAGCTTTCTGCAATATCTGAATGAAAGTAATTAGGAGATAAATAAAAGAGTAAATGCCCAATTTGGCCCTCTAAATTCATTTTAAGAATTGGAGAATAAGTATTATGGGTAGATCAGTAGAGCACAGTACCAAAATAAAACCAACCAATTAAGCAAGAAAAGTTACTTCTCTTTGCCAACTTCTCACAGAATGTGCAGACTGTGAACAACTGATGACTTAATTGACTCATTAAAAACTTCTGCTTAACCACTGAAGCACAAGGACCTGAAGTCAGGAAAGTTCTATTCTGCTCCCAAGCACCAGCTGACTGCATAACCTTAGGCAAGAGACACGGGGATTGTTTCTTCAAAAGCTGAGCAAGTAAATGGCTATTATGAGTTTTTTTTTCCAATTAATGTCAAGTTCTGAAACACTATTATTTTGGTAAATAGACTATGAAGCAGTCCCTTTAACCCTTCACACAMTTACAGACTAGCAAGAATATATGAATGGATCTCAATTTTATGTAGAAATTAAAACTCAAATGGTAACTGAAAATTTCTTTTTTCAAAGCCAGTGTCATGAATCATTGAAGTGAAAGTCAATGAAGGTGATCCCCTCACCTCAATTAATAAGAGATAGCTTGAGTGGGTCAGTAAGTAGACTGCTTTTCAATACTCTTTCTTGAATTCTGAACATGCAGAACATTTTACTCACAGTCCCCTAAATTCCAATAATAAAATAATAAATTTGTACTCTGCCCACTTCAGGGTTAATTACATCCAGAAGGTAACAGCAACTGCTAAACAAAAACTTTTTTGATCTTTTCTCAKATAAGAGGAAACATACACCTACAAAGCCTATAAAGGATGGTACAAAGGCAGTTACTGCATATGATATCTTTATSTAATCTTATGACATGATTTTTTTGTAATCCTCTGTGAAAAGAAGCATAAAAATAGAGAAAGCGGGTGGAAAAACCAAGTTGTTTTTGAAACAATAACTAGTAACTGAACYTAAAGAGACATAACATAGTTCTGGAACTCAGTGGCTACTACAGACTTGCTCCCAGGTCTCAATAGAACCATTCCATAAAACATACAAACTTGAAAAAAGTATTGAAATGTCCACATAGAGCGGTATAAGCACAAAGAACATATGGGAAAGCTCCCTCAAGGATTTCTAAAAAGTAAATTATAACACAAAACAATAAGCATGCATATGTGAGGATATGAAGCAAATCACTCTATACATGAATGACAGACATTAAGACATAGCTTCTAAAGAACATGGGCATAGGAGYCAGCATTCCACATCCACATGTAGAYCTGCTCACTGTTGTACTGAAAGCTGCTGAATAAGAGGTTTATAAAAAATAACAACCAACTACAAACAGTTTAGAAATAAAAAATACTTTCAATTGCAATTTTATTCCTTAATGACTCCTGCTGTATCTCATTATATATATCTCTTACATAACACTGCTGTCTTATTGTCAACGAGAACTCAAGATCAAAGGAAATGCATATAGTGTAACAAAACACAAAGGAGATGGGATTTTTTTAAACCGTTCAAAATCCAGATCTTAGCACAAGAATTGTGTATGATTCTCTTAAGAAAATTTTAAAAGCTACTCTTATGCCCTTACCAACACATTGTTTGAATAAGAAGCATACCCAACTGGTAAGCAGAAAACATATCTGCATTTGAAACCTCAACCTAGGAAAGTCAGCTCCTTCTTCTACATCCTTGGTATTACAAGGGCAACAGTCTTGTAAAGAAATCCTCAGATGCYGTAACATTTTGCATTTCATACACTGGAGTGAGTCATTCCAAGTACACTTATAGTCAGAAACATAACACCACAACACTAGTCTCTGGGATGTAAACACGTAGTTCCTATTGTTCACATGTGCAGAGGAAGGCAGGATATGGCTGTGCATTCAGGGATAGCAAACAAACCCATTAAGAAGAAATCTTTCAAGTGATGTTGCTGTACATACACCTAAACTGTACACACATTATTACCAGTTGCCACATCTCATGCTCCTGTATTTCTTTAGCCTCTGTTACACTCATACTTGCAGGAGAGAGYCCTAATTCTAATTGGAGGCTCTGAGATATTCTCACAGCGTAAACTGCAACATTATTCTCCAGAGYCAAGTCTTGTGCCTCATTTGTATGCTTTCTCAGTTTCCAACAATCTCTGCTTTGAAACAAATTCCCAAAGTCCAATGTAATGGGGTTTAAAAGCATGTTTCTATTTATAAATTTCAAATGCTAGCAGGTATTTACTTCATTACTTTTGGTGAGTAGCTCCTATTTTCAACTAGGGATGGTGGAGCCTTCCTATTATTCCATCTGTGGCAGATTTGGTTTTACTTTCTGAGCATCTGCAGTTGAAGAGTTTTTGCAGTCCTTTTAAGCAGCTGAGCAAAGAATGAGCAGATGGTGTCAAATGTAACAGTGCTAAATCCCCACCAAAAAATATTGTTCTAGGTTTATTTTTGAAGCAAGAAATTCTTGGTTCATGAGGGACCCTACCACTAGCTCACAGAAATTAAGCACATTTACAGTATGCTCATATTATAGCCGAAACCATTTGTAATACATTTTAGTCTTTACTGAATAGCATTTTTCTAGAATTGAGCTGCAATTGTGCCACAAATGCTATTGTTTGATTTGTTGGAAATAAATATTAAGCAGGACAGCATGTGTCTTTTGGTAAACAGGTAACAACAAGCAATAATCACCTTCTATYACTATCTATTAAACATAGGTCCATTTCAAGACCTTAGTGAAAAAGCCATTTTTGCTTCAAGAATTTTACACACTCACTAAGGCTGTTCCAGGTTTTATAACCTTCACCTACTCCTATTTATAAGCAATGAAGGAAAAGCAGACTCTTTAATGTGAGTAAATATATTATTGTTTCCCACCCCTCATCTGTCAGAGGTATATGAAATCTCACACAGGCATTGTGAAGATAAATACATTAAAAGACCACAAGTGACTTGTGTAATTGTGGATATCAGAAGTAGCCTAGAGAAACAAGACAGAGTGAAGCATTTTTAAAAAGAGAGAGGTGCCCAACCTGCAATCATGTTCCAGAGTAACCAATTCTGGCTTTCATTGATCATCCAGTAGCTCTGAAGACAGCCTCACATTGGTGTATCAGGTAAGAACTTGCATTTTGTTTCATTTCAGCAAACCAATCCTTTACCTCTACAAAATATTAAACCATACCTAATTGTTATCATGTCTCCATGATCTCCTTGGATGTACCAGCTGCAATTTACAGCTGGAGGATARTTTGATGGCCAAGAAGGACTATAGATGACTCCCCGTCTCTCTGTGCGCTGTTCCAGTTCTCCACTGCAAGCAGCTGTTAAAAGGGGGAGAAAAATAATGTTGTTAATGCTTTGTCTAATCAACAATTCATATTAGCTTCAAGAGCTTTCAGTTTCTRGGGATTACAAACAAATGAGAGTCAACAGTTTTATCCTCTTACTGCTTTCTTCCCTGCCCTGATTTTTACCTCCGACACCCACACCAAGTGTAGGTAAGCATAACCTGCATTTCGATGCAGGACCACTCGACAATCTTGTATAAATCCACCACAGGCTACAATCAATATTACTGCATGGATCTGCCAAGAGAATGTGATACAGAAATCCTTCTTATCAGCTTCCCAAAGCCTAGGTAGGTCACCCAGCAAGTGAAGAAGACCTATATTAACTGTAAAGTAGCTAGGTGCTAATTTTGTTGTAACATGCTGCTGGACATGTTGTTTATTCTCTTAACCATATGACAGATGTGAAGAGTTTGAAATGGTTAAAAAACTACTACCACCCACCAACCCCCACCTCCCATTCCTCCCACAAAAATGTAAACTGGAGTCCACTGTTAAATGTTTTCATTGAACATTACCAAATTACTCTAAATTCCTTCTGAACCCACATAGATGGGAAAAATTTTCAAGACAGAAAAAGGAGCAAACAAGGGCAAATAAAGCTCAGCACTCTGAAGGTACATTTAGTTCTTCCTATGAAAAACAGCAGGCTACATCAAATACTTAAAATCTGTAATTAAGCAATTCAAAAATGAAAATTAAGTGTTCCAAGGTCAAGTTGAAAAGGTGTTCTGATAGGAAAACTTACTCTTAGCAGACTACAAGAGGGAAAATTCACTGTAACGCAATAGCTATTCTGAACATTCTCCAAAAATATTATTTAAACTGTTTTTAAAACAAGTTACTATTTAGAGCACTACTTGTGGACTGCAACTGAATATTCCAGTTTTTGACAGCTTACGTTCTTGTAAGCTTGAAAAACATAGCAAGGGGAAAAAAAGGTTGCTTATACCTTGCCATCTYATACACACATGCATCCAAAACACTGCATTATAAATGAGAGATTTACAGTATYGGTTGAAATCCAGCCACATAAATACATTATTTTCAATTCTCATTCAGGATCAGATTTGGCTGCAGTGGAGGGATGGAGGGAAGGAGTACCCGCAAAGCTACTTGGCTGTAGCCAAGTCAGGTGGCAGGGCTGCCTGTGGAGCTTCTGGTAGATGATGGGCTGGGCTGCAGCATGTCCCCTCCAGGAAACCTGGGCCTGGCACTATTCTGTTTGTTCACAGTAAGCACTTTTTAAGTGAGACTCACAGGAATACAAAAAACRTGAAGTAACTCACCTGAGGCAAAAAACAAAAATGCTATTAGTTTTACTATCCAGGTAGGACATTCCACTGAAATACATGCATATAATTCCTACTAGTTTCAAAGGCCACAAAAACATACAGAATACATAAATACATAGAAACATCTGTTTCCAAATAAATATTTTGCAGTAATGCAGTTACAAAAACATTTTTGTTATCATATTTCTAAGACTAGAGAGGCTCCATGCTAGATGCTGGAAAATACTGAGACACAGTTACAATTATACAATTATAAAAGCAAATATAAGATCCACAGGACTTTTCAACTCTAGTTCTCAATTTCTTTATGTCTATAAATGTGCTCCTTCACATACTTGTTACTGCATCAACACATCACAGCAAAAGAGGACCAAGAGCTAGCAAACACATAAAAGAGCTGGAAAGAATGCATTTCCTAACTGCCAGGTTAATAAAACTTCAAAATGGGAAGGACACTGAATGTACAAAGTGAAAGAACAAATATACCAGACAGCACTATCCAGAGGTGCGACACAAGTCTTCTCTTTCCTGACTAATATGTGTGCCAACACTGGGCACAGCCATTTGTGATGGAACAGAGGACACAGACAACTTCTTAGCTGGTTCGAAAAAATCCCCTTGTTTTCGGACAGCTGTGCTTTTTTATACTTTAATTTTACCAGGCTAAATACTGATTGGCTGTCCGCCCCGCAGAGCCACCGCCCATGAACCTTCTTATCCAATTGTATCGCCGGTCAAGTGGTGTCCACAGGCTCTGTTAASCAATCACAGCKTGATACACAAGGCAGGGCCATGKCRAGCATACAAGCTGCTCCCTGATCACATCACCTGCAGCTCAAACCTTTCCCAAACTCTAAGGTTAACCCCAACACAGAGGCTTCCCGTAACACCTCTGCAAATACTTCTGCCGTCCTTGTAACAAATAATGTTCCGGATTAATATCCTTTATTCGGAGTATTTGCAATATTACAGAATCACAAGGACACAAAACTTATTTAGTCTCCATTCTAATGAATTCCTATTGAGAGGCTGATGGCTCCACSGGAGCACTTCCATTCACACGTTCATCAGTGTAGTTAGTGTAGCTGTTATTCTCCCAAATGCTTGTTTCTAGTTTTATTATGTAATTACAAAGACTCTGAGCAATAGTTACTTAAGTATCCCAGCTTTTTTGAAGTAGTATCACTACATATTTTTCTTTTTTTATTATGTAAGGCTTCCCAGCGTAGAGGATCTGCTGTAACCTCACAGCTCCGGTCTTCAGTAAGAAATGCTTTTTCTTACTAACACTGCACATCTGGTATAAAAGTAAGGCAAGGAAAGAATAGTCACAAACAGATTTTTCCTTTAAAGAATTGTAGAAGAAGAATTGTAGCTGTGCAAATCTAAGGACATAGCAAGGTAAGGGCTGCACTGACACTATATGGCATTTTGGGTAGCTCACCTGACAATGGCTATTGTTGGCCAATATTTTACCATGGCCTTATCCCCTCTGACACTTCTCAAGCATTTCAGACTTGTCCTACTCAAAATCAAAAGAACAATCAAAATCAAAGGGTCTTGATTTGAATGGACCATTAATCTGAATTCATATTTCTTTTTGGTTTAAGACAATTTAAAGGAGAAACCTCCAGGTCTAGCTATCCCCCTTAGGTTCCAAGTAGGTAATGAATACAAATAGATTGAGTGAAAAAATAACCCTTTACTAACAAGTAGAATAACAACAGCCAAAAACAACAGCAAATAGCCACCAGATACAAAACTGCTCAATTCCGTGAACTCCTCAAAACAAAAAGAGACCCCAAACAAAAAGTGCCAGGCACACACCCCCCAAGATGGTGCCCTGGATTTGAGTGTATGAGTCAAAGGACAAAGGGGGAAATGGGTCAGTCTTTTCCGCTCCCCGCCGCTCTCTTATCTCTCACTTGGCTTATGTGGTGATGGGGAGAGCCCTGACTGAAGTTCTTTGGATTCGGGAGTCTGGAAACTCACGGAGGGAATTCGTCTTCCTACAGATAGGGGCAGTCAAGATAGGGTGGCTGGGCTGGATGCTCTCGGCTGGGTGCGGCCAAATAGTGCCTTGAACCGGGCTGGGTCTCACTGCCCTTTTCTCCCGGCGCACCACTTCCAGCTACCGAAACTGTGAGCAGGGAGACAGACCGAGACAAGGGCTGGAAACGGCTTATGGCAGCTGTTTTCTTCTCTGTGCGGTACCTCCGACTTCCCGAACCGCCACAGGAGAAGAGACCGAGCCTGGGGCTGCAAACGGCGTCGCTGCAGCTTCCCTTCGTGCAATCTCCGACCCCGCAACTGCGAGGGGCAGAAAGGCTGCCATGGCAGCTTTTGAGAAACGTGCGCACCAAAGCAAACTCWCAGGCACGCACAACACACAGACACACACAACATTCCCGGCCGTGGAAACTTAAAGATACAATAACAATTTTTGGGCATAAATGATTATGGAATACACTATCCAATTATGAATCAGACCAAGACAATATTGGCAAAACTTAATTACACTATTTTAACAGTATGTCGACGGTTCCCTAAACGTGTTGGAGCAAACTGGGGATACATACACCCCACCCAAAACTATGATAGCATTTTCCTAAACCTTACTTAATTGCTTCATGTTTTTGATGCCTTTTTTTTCTCCCACCAAGGCTCATTACTATAAGATTTGCAAACATCAATCGACCTCCTTCCTAAAGCAGTCACTTGCCTCTCTACTCCTTGTGCACTCACTGCTGCAAGGCAGACAAGGTGAAGTACCTGAGCACCACCTGCAGCAGCTCTTTTTTCACCGCATAAATTTTGAAAGAAAAACCTCCACTAAACACAGCCTTCAATGCTGGCAACAAAATAGTAAAATYACGTAAGGGCAGAATTTTATACTGTTGGGGCTTCATTAATCAATAAAAGGGTCCCAATTCCCTTCTCAGTTCCTGGCCATGAAGCCTGCAAAATCATACACATGCCTAAGTACTGTGTTACTAAGTTGGGCTTCAGCATAAGAGTCTAATTCCTTAGGGAAAACAAACAAAAGCCTGTTCAAGCGGCCAAAACATACATAAAGGAAAGGGAAGTTCCTAAATAGAAAGATACAGTCCTGGATTCTGAAGGCCTTATCAATGACAACACATAAGAAGAGCAATGATAACACTTTTTCAACAATTCTTCTGTGTATTTCCACAGTCTTTCTGCACAAACCTAGAAGAAAAGTGAAATCCAATTTACTRAAAGCTCCAAACTGCTTAAATTTCCCACATTTAGTATTACTGAAGAAATATAAAAATACCAATTCCTGGATTGGCAAACCAACCCACCAAAAATCTTCCTGAGATGGTGCTTTTAAAGAAAAGTTAAATTATAAAAAAAAAAAAAAGTAAACAAAAAAACCCCTAACAATGGAAAAGAAAACCCCAAACTTTAAACAAACGTCAGAAGAGATTAGAGTTTTTGTCCAGAGGGCATAAATCTTAATGAGGCTCTTTCTGTAATAATCAAATAGATTTCTTCTCCTGTAAACACAGCAGATTCCCTCTGCCAGTTAAGTACGCCACAAATACAAAACTTCAAACTTGAAGTTGCAAACTTCACATGAATAATATTACTCCTGTTTTTGCAAGAGCAACTACAATAAAACAAACACTGAGCTTCACCAAAGGACAGCACGGAGGGTACTATGCAATGCTGGAATARATTTTCAGGCAAAAACAAATCCGGCAGCTTCACACTCTTCTGCAGCAAGGCCTGCCTTATTCACAAGGAATACATCCCAACCATCTGCTCCAGGATAAAAGATGTTTTGCACCTGCCACAAGGAACCTCCGCTCAAAACCAAATGCTTGGCAATATATATTTCCTCACACAGTTTTCTCAGAGTCAGCAGGAAACTCTCCCCAAGTTCTCACAATGCTCCCTCAAGAAGGGCTTGCACACATGGTTTAATGCAGATCCCTCATGCCTGTGGAAAAAAGAAGACTTAAGGCTCCCCTTCGCTTTGCCCACTCTCCAGTTGGCTGCTTCTGCCCCCAGTCAGATTCAGCAAAGACACAGTCCAGTCCAAGGGTTCAGCTCACAGGTGTGACAAAATCTAAGCTCACACTGCTCAATCAACAGACTGCCTTAGTCTTCTGCAAGCATGTGTTAGAGAAGCTACACATGGATCATACTGTTGCAATGACTTTTGATGATCATTTTCATCCCCAGCTCCAGTTACACCATCAGGAGACAAGGTAACTCAAAACTGCATGAAGACAAGAAAACATGAAGAATACAATACTCTGACATTTTCAGCATACTTAAAAGAATAAAAGTGAGATGTTACAAGTTTATTTCCAGAGAAAAAAAGGTATTAGAAAGCAGCAGAGCCAACTGAAAGAAGCTCTACRTATTTTAGGCTGATGTAGTATCACCAGTCTAAGTAAGCCACTGTGTAATCAGTTTACACTTCGTAAACTCATGTATCATACACCCAACAGATGCCAGACTCCATCAAAAGCTAAAGAACCATCCAGGCAGAACATACTATGACATAAATGGCATTCTGTACTTTTTCCAATGAAAGAATGGGAAATACTGTGTTGCAAACAACACATGTCCTGCATATCTTATCCACACTTCCTCTGAGTTTAATTTAAGCAGGTTACCTAATCATAAAATTACTGCCTTCTCCTGATTGAAACATTCTCTCAATCCCTGATGTTGACTTGAACACTCAAGCTTCCACATTAATTGATCTACTGTCCTAGAATTATTTTTCTGTTTTCCCATATCCTGTCCTCCCATCCCCCTTATTTGGCATTTTCTGTTTTAATAAAAGACGCAGCCTCTTTAGGCATAAAGTACATCTACGCACGTGAAGGTGGAGTGACAGGCACAAGAGGACCCTTATCACAAAGAGGACCCTGACTGCAATATTCCCATAATGCTAGTAAGTCACAGTACTGCGACAGAGAAGGAAATTACACAAAGGGCTGTGATATTGGTTGAATTTCCATGCTTGCATTCATGAAACATTTTTAATATTCTTGTTTTAGCTTCTTCCAAAATGAGCCACTTTCCCTGACTTGATGCTCCCAGGCACATTTCCTAAACCTGAAGTTTTCCCCTAAGCATATCAGCATGCACTATAACCTTAGCCTCAAACTTACTATTTTTATCTATCACAGTGACAAATGATGCAGTCTATAACTCTGTTGTGGTTAAAGCCCAACTGGAAAATAAACCTGATGCAGCCACTCCCATCCCCCCACCCCCTCAGGTGAGAGAGACAAAATGCAGATTATGGGCTGATTTACTGGAAAWAGCAACCAGATAAGAAAACAAACAAAGACAGCAACAACACTAATGACAAGTGTGTAACTGAGGGTGATGCTGTGCAAAGTGCTCAGAGCCCAACATGCCACAGCCCTTGTTCCGTTCACTGCTCCTGCCCCAGGACAGGCACAGAAATGACAGAAATGGYGGCGYAACCTCCGCACAGCACCTTTGTCTTTGTACCCACAGCCGTGCCCACACAGCTCCAGGCCTGCGCCCTCCCGGCACTGAGACAAGGATCCCTGGCCTTGG